GACACGAAGGGAATCGGGAGGAGGGGCCGGGGGTCCGGGGTTGGGGGTTCCCACCCCAAAATCACCAAAATCAGCAAAAATCACCCAAAAATCACCAAAAACCACAAAAAAATCACCCAAAATCACCAAAAAAATCACCCAAAAATCACCCCAAAAGTCACAAAAAATCACCCCAAGATCACCAAAGATCACCAAAAATTCACCAAAGATCACCCAAAAATCACCCCAAATCACCCCAAAATCACCAAAAAGCACCCAAAGATCACCCAAAATTCACCCCAAAATCACCCAAAAATCACAAAAAAGTCACCCAAAACCACCAAAAATCACCCCAAAATCACAAAAAATCACAAAAAAACACCCCAAATCCCATTCCCAGGGCGCTCCTGGGCCTGGCCCTGTCACCGTCTCTGGAACAAAATTTGGGGTCAAAGGGTCACATCCCAGTTCCATCCCAAATTCTCCATGATCCCAAATCCCTTGGGAATCCCAAATTCCTTGGGGATTCCAAATCCTCCAGGATTCCCAAATCCCTTGGGGATCCCAAATCCTCCAGGATTTCCAAATCCCTCGGGGATCCCAAATCCTCCAGGATCCCAAATCCCTTGGGGATCCCAAATTTCTTGGGAATCCCAAATCCCTTGGGGATCCCAAATCCCTCGGGGTCAGGCCCCTGCTGTCACCTCTCCCATGTGAAGGAAGGGAGGGAGGAAAAGGCAGGGGGAAAAAAATAAAATAAAATAAAATAAAATACAAAATAAAACAGAAATCTAAACCAAAAAATTAAAATTAAAATAAAATAAAAATACAAAATGAAAAACAAAATCTACAACGACATTTAAAAATAAAATAAAAATTATCATCCGATACAAAATAAAATTAAAAAAAAAAAGAAAATAAATAAAAAAAACCCAGCAGAGAGAGGAGGAACGGCCCAATAAAAATTATCATCCGATACAAAATAAAATAAAAAAAATAAGAAAATAAATAAAAAAAAACCCCGGCAGAGAGAGGAGGAACGGCCGAGAAAATGAATAAATATTTCAATTTGAGGCGCAATCACGGCGAGTGATTGAAACGGGGGAAGAATAATGGCTTTCATTTAGATAAGATACAGAAAATTATTTAGTGAGAAATGAAGAGCGATGAGCGCCGCGCCGCGCCGGCGGGGCTGGGACCCCAAAAGTGCCCCAAATTCCTGCTCCCAGGGAAACCCCGCGCTTCCAAAAATCCCCCACGCTTCCAAAAATTCCCCATGTTTCCGAAAATCCCCCACGTTTTCCAAAAATCCCCCACATTTTCCAAAAATCCCCCACTTTTTCCTGAAAGAACCCCGAATTTTCCAGAAAAAACCCCAAATTTTCAAAAAGTCTCCCACATTTTCCAAAAAATCCCCCACGTTTTCCAAAAATCCCCCACGTTTTCCAGAAAAAACCCCAAATTTTCCAAAAACCCCCACATTTTCCCGAAAGAACCCCAAATTTTCCAAAAATCCCCCACGTTTTCCTGAAAGAACTCCAATTTTCCCAAAAAAACCCCCCACATTTTCCAAAAATCCCCCACTTTTTCCTGAAAGAACCCCAAATTTTCCAGAAAAAACCCCACGTTTTCCAGAAAAAACCCCAAATTTCAAGATGTTCCCCACATTTTCCAAAAGTCCCCCACGTTTTCCTGAAAGAACCCCAAATTTCCCCAAAAAAACCCCAAAATCCCCCACGTTTTCCAAAAGTCCCCCACGTTTTCCTGAAAGAACTCCAATTTTCCCAAAAAAACCCCCCACATTTTCCAAAAATCCCCCACTTTTTCCTGAAAGAACCCCAAATTTTCCAGAAAAAACCCCACGTTTTCCAAAAATCCCCCACGTTTTCCAAAAATCCCCCACGTTTTCCAGAAAAAACCCCAAATTTTCAAAAAGTCCCCCACATTTTCCAAAAACCCCCCACGTTTTCCAAAAATCCCCCATGTTTTCCTGAAAGAACCCCAAATTTTCCGGGGAAAATCCCCAAAATTTTCCAGGAAAACCCCAAATTCCGACCCAGGCGGGTTGGGAGCGAGGCTCCTCTTGGAGGGGATGGTGGAGGAGAAAGGTGGGAGAGGAGGGGATGGGATTGGGGTGGGATTGGGGTGGGATGGATTGGGATTGAAGGGATGGGACGGGTTTGGGGTGGGATTGGGATGGATTTGGGATGGATTTGGGATTGAGGGATGGGATGGGTTTGGGATGGGTTTGGGGGTCACTGGGATTGTCACATGGGGATGTGAGCCTTGATCCCAAACTGGAGCCATCCCAAAATGGAGCCATTGACCCCAAACTGGAGCCATTGACCCCAAAACGGAGCCATCCCAAAACGGAGCCATCCCAAAAGGGAGCCATTGGTCCCAAAGCAGGCCTGTCCCATCCCAAACTGGGGCGATTGACCCCAAACTGAACCCATCGATCCCAAACCGGATCCTTCCCATCCTGAACTGGAACTGTCCTGCCCCAAACCGGGGCCATCCCACCCCAAACCGGATCCTTCCCACCCCAAACCGGAGCCGTTTCACCCCAAACCGGAGCCGTTTCACCCCAAACCGGATCCTTCCCACCCCAAACCGGGGCCGTTTCCCCCCCAAACGGGGCCCTTTCCACCCCAACCCGGGGCCCGTTTCACCCCAAACCGGATCCTTCCCACCCCAAACCGGGGCCATCCCCCCCCAAACCGGATCCTTCCCACCCCAACCCGGAGCCGTTTCACCCCAAACCGGAGCCGTTTCACCCCAAACCGGATCCTTCCCACCCCAAACCGGGGCCGTTCCCACCCCAAACCGGAGCCGTTTCACCCCAAACCGGAGCCGTTTCCCCCCAAACCGGATCCTTCCCACCCCAAACCGGAGCCATCTCCCCCCAAACCGGGGCCATCCCACCCCAAACCGGATCCTTCCCACCCCAAACCGGAGCCGTTTCACCCCAAACCGGAGCAGTTTCACCCCAAACCAGGGCCATCCCACCCCAAACCGGTGCCATTTGCCCCCAAACCGGGGCCGTTTCCCCCCAAACCGGGGCCGTTTCACCCCAAACCGGAGCAGTTTCCCCCCAAACCGGAGCCGTTTCACCCCAAACCGGATCCCTCACGCCCCACTCCGGAGCCGTTTGCCCCCAAACCGGAGCCGTCTCCCCCCAAACCGGATCCCTCCCGCCCCACACCGGCGCCCTCCCGCCGCTCCCCGCGTGCCCCGGGCCGGCAGCGCGGTCGCTTTTGTTCCCGGGGGTCCCGGGCTGCCCCTCGGGGGTCCCGGGGGTCTCGGGCTGCCCCTCGGGGGTCCCGGGGGTCCCGGCGCCTTCCGCCCGCCCCTGCTCCAACCCCCGCGGTCCCGGCGGGTTTTTTGTGCTTTTTTGTTTTGTTTTGTTTTTTTCCTTTTTTCCCCCTTTTTATTTTTTTCCCTTCCCCTCTCTCCTCTTGGCATCTTAGCAACGCCGCCCCCTTAATTAAAAATTAGATTGGGTTTTGCAGCCGGAGGCCGCGCTGGGGCAGAGCCCGGCTCCGCGGACAGGGGGAGACCCCCACCAAAACTCCCCGCAGGGCTGGGGGCGCGCCCCCCCCCCGCCCTCC